CGGACATGGGTCTTGAATTATGATGGTTGCCAACTCCATGGCTCCGCCCCAACCTACCTGCCCTCCCCTGGCTTCTTGACACTCACACTCGGACGACTTGGTTGGGGTAAGAAATGGTAAGAGTTGCGGGTCGAGTCGAGGGTATGATAGCGCTGGGTGTGAACAGCAGCTTTTCGCCACAGCCTAAAAAGTTCACCCAAAAACCACCGGAGCTCTCGGCCTTAGTCCAGGTGGACTTGACATTCTTAATACTAAGAGTAATATAAATAAATAGTAGTAGAGAAAAAGCCATCGAACCACCGAGTCGGAAGAGGCATCCAGGAAAAGAACTCCAGGCGTCCTTGTCATTCTTAGTACTAAGAGTAATATCAAAGATTAGTAGTATCGCCATTCATTAATTTGGGAGTTTCCAAAAATTAGGCTACCTGATTTGGTCGTCCTTATAATAAGGATCCTAATTACTATTTAGGGTACTATACCCTAATTCCGGAAACTCCCATTTCTATCAAATATCGGCGAATCGCAGTAGCCCAAGGGATCCCAAAAAGTCCTCCAGGCCGCTACCGTTTGAGGACACGTCCCGCACGCGGAGGTCCGCTGCGGTGGCGGCTCCCGAAGCGGGCTTCCTCGGCTAAGGTTTAATTACGGTTTAGGGTTTAGGTTTAGGGTTTAGGGTTTTTCCACCTAGCAGTTAAGGTCGGCGGAATCCACTGTTGTGGAAGGCAACTGCCTGACTACAGGTGGAAAAGGTTTAGGGTTTAGGCTTATAGGGCTTGTATTATCCTAATTGTCGAGTATCCTGGGAAACTGAAGGTTAACCTTTGGGAGCATATTGGGATTATAGTACCCCCAAAAAGGTTAAAGGTTACCAACTCTACAACTAAGTTATAGCTTCATGTTTCGGCGCTCACACTTGGACACTCCAGGCGAGGCAAATGCTTCATGTTTAGGCTTTATAAGGTTGAAAATTGAGGGTTATGGGGTTTAGAAACGAACTGGCTCATGCGGAGCTTGTGGCAGAAGGCTTCCAGTGGGCAAGTCTCACGAAGGGGTCTTGGACGTGTAATCAGGCTTAGTGAATTTCAGCCACTGGACCGCACGCAGACTCATGCTCGCATATACACGCCCGACACGCAACCGACCAACGGATGAGTATATGCCGATGAACAAACAGGAAGGACACACATGAATGCAAACATCTGCGCATTAATTCATCACCCCTCAGGTGCCTGGTGCCTGCATTCAACTATTTGTAAAAGTATGCGCGTTGGTGTACCTGCAAAAAACAGAGCATACCGCGTTCACTGGTACAGACATAAGACCCTGGACGAACCTGCAGTTCATCAACATTTATTCAGCCATCATCATACATCACACAGACATGAACAGGCAAACTTGCGCAGAAGCCCGCGCGAGCGCAACGTGTATGGACGTGCCTCGTCTGGGACTGCCTATGTAAATATGTCTATGCATGTGGTATGTGGTGAATTTCGTGCTTTTTTAATGAAATGCAGATGTGCATGTGGCATCTACGCATTCACAAACTGAACCCTCGTTGTAACGAGAACAACAAACAAACAACAAATAACACCGCTAGCACCTAACCGGTAGACCGACCCAGCGCCCGACCAACCTACATATAATAATAATAATAATAATAATAACTATTATTACTATTATCATTAATTGCTTGCCTCCCGCCTGGCTAGGACGAACCTACGAGAATTATTAGTATGATTAGTATTATTGATATCATTATTTATAAAGACCTGCATACCTGCACACCACCGCACATACGTAAATTTGCATACACAATCAAGTAAACATACATGCAAACACACGCACACAAATAAAAACAGCCAAAACATACCTGCACGCGTGGCAGTGTGAGCCTGACCATTCAAGATTTTCTGAGTTTTGACCCCGCTGAAAGACAAGCAAACAAAAACAGCTGTCGTGTACCATCTTGCACCATCACACTTTTAAATACTGCCAAGACAACTATGACACATACTAGGACCTTTGTGGCTGCTGTCACCGGTAGTGCTTTTGATATGCTCTGTGAACGGGATCGGTCTTTCGAATGCCGAGGCACAGCAGTCTCAGCTCCACGTGCGTGTTGGAGACACCCCCAAGATTGACCTGCAAAGGTTTCCAGGAAAAGCACATGGGGGTTTTCAAAAATAGGGGACCTTGACATAGTACCCTAAATAGCAGGATCCTTATTATAAGGACCCCAAAACAAGGTACCCACAATTTTCGGAAACTTCCACATGCTCTTTGAAGGTAGCACCAGGAGTTTCAGGGTGTGGTGGGGTTCAGGTTGCAAGGGTTTAGGGCATGGTAGGGGTTTGCCGTTCTGCTTCCCGGCCTGCATCGTACATTTTGAGCTCCGGCCCAGTGTGATGGGGTCACCACCGGCGGTCAGAACTGCCGTCTTCCCTGCAAAGGTCGCAGGGATTCGGGTCGGGCCACTACGCATGGCTGTAGTAGAATCCCTGCTGTGAAATACTTCGGCTTCACATGCGACTGCACATCCCTTAGCAGCACCCCAATCCTGACAATGCAGTTCGCCTGACTTAGGGGCCATGGACGTGCATGTAAAGTGAGCTTATCAATTCTTTCATGCAATGTAACTGTATCTACATATACGTACGTATATACATGCATGCATACATACATACATTGTCGGTTTTCATGACATCACATGAACATGCATGTGTTTGTACCACGGGTGTACATGTGAGTGTTTGTGACTATATGTGCATGTAAACCTCCAACTGTATTCCTGCACACAAGTACCAAGAACAGCCTGCTCAGACGCACCTCACAAATCCAAAACGTCAGAAGAACAAGATAAGACGTCTGCGAGACTCTATAGAAATCCAAACAAAGCCCTCAACAAGAATCCACACAAAACACACACACACACACACACAAACATATATATATATATATATATATGTATGTATACATATCTAATACTGATATACACGCACACACCTGGCGAGAGTTCGGGAGATTCTGCTGGAACCAACCCTTCTCCTACAGATACCAAACTAGCTCAGTGCCGGTGGCCTGGCCCCAGCTCCTGGCAACGGCTGAAAATCGAAAGCACGTTCAATCAGCTTCAATGCTTATCCTTCCCGCTTGGGGGCTTGGATTTAGGGTCAACAACAAGAAACTAAAACCTTGGTTGCGACTCTCACGCTCGCCACATCCATCATTCAAACTCAGACTTTCTGTAAATTCCGCAGATGCACCGCTGCATCCCACGCTCCAGCTGCAGCTTTTTTGGGGGGAGCTCTGCTTTGTTTTGCCTTGGGCTTTGGGTTTCGACTCGCATGCAGGCACGGAAGCCAGAAAGTCCGCTGATGTGGAAATAGAGCAGAGCACAGAAGGAAGGAACGAGAGCAAGCAACCCGAGTTGTTCTGGTTTGGGGCAATGTGCACTGCGGCATTGAAGCTGGTAAAAGAACGACACACAGACACACACACACACACACACACACACACACACAAACAAACACCACACACACACACACTCACACACAAACAGCAAATAATTGGAACACAGAACAAGTTCAGGCCGTCTCGCTTAAGAAATTTAGCGGATCTGGCTACGAGCTTGGGCCACTTCCGGTCAGAACGGAGTTGGCGCTGTGGAGTTATTGAGTCCAGGTACTTGGAACATGGGTCAAGGATGATTAGTGCTAGCCTTCCCTATGCTCTACCTTAAGAGCATGAGGATAATGACGCTCCAACTTTCTGGCTTCTACTGTATACGGTATACGGCTCAGCATGCTGAGCAAAGTGAACAAACCGGTCCTCTCTGGTCGGCTTGAACGTGATGCCTCAGAGTGGGCATAGGTTTCCTCTCCGCTTCAATAAGCAAGCCCAAAAAATCTCCAGCTTTCTAAGACCGATCACATATTCTACGGGCAAACATGTTAAACGTTCTCCCGTTGTCTGTCTAAGTTTCAGAGTTGCATGCTCAGAATCAGACGTTCCAAGAACTCTGAGGCACGATCAAGCACCCAAAACAGGGCCTGTTCAGTACCATGAATCGAAGGACGACCAAACACGATGTCCATGGCCCCCCCTTGACAAATATTTCCATGCGCACCTGCAACAAGTCCCAACCTGAAACGTAAGACACGAACACAGCACCTTTGACAGCCGTTTGCATGGTGTGCCCTTCGTGTTTCATACGCGGTACATCCTTCCAAAATCTCCCAATATCAAATGCGACTGTGTTGCTCAAGCTATCCATGCCTGAAGCCATGGCGGAATGCGTGCAGGCTGCACGAAGCGGTCTAGCTGTCTTCTCTTGTGGTGTGGTATGGCTGCATTTGGGGTTCCTAGGCGGTTGGGCTCATGTCTGCGCGTTTGCGGCTCTGTAAGGTCCTGCCTCAACAGCTCTGGTGTCCAAGCATGCGAGCCGTGCCAATGTGTTCTCGCATGGCTTCGTGCTCTCTCAGGCTTGAAGCGGACCTCTTTCAGACTTGAGCCAAGGTGCCGTGGGTCATGTTTGTTTGCAAGAAGCCCCTTGGAAGAAGCAGACTTGCTGCCCCGAACTTCGGGCGGAAAGAAGCCTGAAACTTCCATGTAGAATCACCTGCCCATGCATCGCTGTGACGCGATCAATGTCGTATAGCCCTAACACCGCATGAGATGCGGGATCCTGCAAGTTGCCCATATGTATTTCACCCATCCCGGGACTTCGCAAATTCGGCGCAGGACTCTGAAGGACCCTGGGCTGCAAATTCAAGAATCTTCCTTCGGGGCCGAAGAGTGCCACCATCCTTTATTGTCTTAATCCCCCATCGCTGCAGAAATTCCTGCTTCGAAAAACCTTATCGTGCCATCTGTATATGTTAGGGTTGTCTAACGTACCATGTAGAACCTAAAGAAGGTGACAAGCTTCCTGCTTGGCTGCTAACAACCCCTACAATAACCCGTCCCGCACTCCACCGCACAAACAACGCGCTGACACACGCCTCTTCGAGGTTGCTGCTTTCCAAGGCCTCGGCCTCCTCCAAGGACGGCGCGGAAGAATCAGCAGACTACACAGAACCGACATGACCCTGCTAGTCAGTCTGAAATCATTGCTTATGTGTCGAACACTAGGAAGCCGACAGACCAGGCAGTCAGTAGACGAGGCAAGGCAGGGTCTACGTGGGATTATCATGCTTCCATGAAGCCACAAGGGCCTGTCACAAGCAGATGCGAGACTTCAGGCGAGGCGGAATGGACACTACAGGGCAGCTCTGTTTGGCAATACACAGCTGAAGTCAGAAGCCATCGAAAACTGCTGCCTGCACAACTTGAACTCAATGCTCAATCCCAGCAACCCCGCAACCTCCGCTCAATGTGAACGAAGATCTCGCTTGGCTGTAAACAGGCTGTAATTATATGACGCTCCATCTTGGCCTTGCCAAGAGCCACGATGGCGGCTTCAAGCATCATGCAGGCCGCGCAAAGGCCTGATCAAGCCGCTGCGCAGAAGCCCACAGCAAGGCAGTATGTCTACGCCTTTAAGCTCTTCAAACAGGCAAATGTACAGATCCCCAAGGAAGGATCCCAAGTACAACGCATGCCGTAAACACAAACATGCATCCTGCAAGCTCGATGTGCTGCTGTGTGCAGTTGAAATCTTCTCCGGAGGTCACCCCAGACCGCACCTATATTCCCACAGATTCCCGGACTGAAGAGCGCTTCGGCGCTTCGCCCATCACCGCGCCTTCTTGGGTTCCGTACCTGTCAGCAGCTCATCTTTCATCTCTGGACCCCACGGAGCAGGCAGGAGGAAAGAGGATAAACGTTCTTATGTCGCCACCGAAAACTGATTCCTTGAAGCACGGCCTCGAGGTACAGTGTTGAAACAGGACACTGGTGGCTTCATAGATGTGGGAGCCTACAAGAATAGTTCTCGTGATGATTCCGGCTTTCAGAAACTTATCTCCCCAAAGCTTCATTCGCAACGATGTAGGCGAGTGCTCGACCCCCCCCCGTAGGGGAGGCACCCTTCCAAGCCCATGCGTAGCTCCCCGGCAGCCAATACCTCAAAGCATTTCAAAGCAGGCGCAGGTCGGACATCCGGGAGTGGCTGCTGAGGTGCGAGACCGGAGGGGTTGGCCCCTATCAGGAGTGATAGGGAGTCTCTACTTTGTTGTTTGGGCCTTCTCTCTCTCTCTCTCTCTCTCTGCCGTTGCATCGAGAGGGTCTAGCTGGGCTCCTTCATTCTGACACGGACTCTTTCTCGCATATCTCGCATGGAGTCTAGGCGTTCATCATCGACCCGTCAGGCACACTGCGATTGTCACTTGCAAAACATGCTCGACACAACTACGTCACAAACATGAAGTGGAGCACAACTAGTTGAAACAGACCCAGCAGCTTCAAACGATCCCTCATACTTCGGATAGTGATAGCAGCAACTGTACATGTGTGTTAGTTGTCGTCGTCTGTAGAATGAGAGAGCAGCAACTGAAAAGCGAAAGCATGTGCAACAAGCAAACTGTAAGAGCTGTGACTCAAAACGAAGGAACTAGCTATCGGGAGTTAAATTGGAATGCCGCCACGTAAGGGGAGCAACCTAAAACAAAACCTTACACGGCAGCGGCGCCGAAAGAGTTGAGAGTGAACACTGCGGACTCAGCACACACACGTCTTCGAACCCTCAAAGCCGTAAGCTTGATAAACACAAAACCAAGCTTTCTGAGTCTGAGAGGGCAACCAAGATGGGCTTCAGCCGCGAGAGGGGAGAGCTCGAGCTCTTGGAGCCAGCTCCTAGCCTCGAACTGAAGGAATTTGACCCGGAGAGGTTTTAGGATACTCTACAAAATGCTTTAGGGGATTAGGGAAGGCTAGGCCTGGGGGACTTTGAAGTTTAGGGACCTTAGGGTTTTAGGATTTCGGGAACTTAGGGTTTAGGGAGTGTAGGGTTTCAGGGTTTACGGAAGGCTAAGGGGACTTCAGCTGGAGGAACGGCTGTACTTTCAAAAACCGGCAACAATAAGTTGAGTATGTGCATTCCGATTACTAGTGATATCATTCCTGTTTTTATAGTGATTATCATTGTGATGTTTATTGCGAATATTGTTATTCTGATTAATTCGCATATCATTCCTCTACTTAGCACAACTATTGAGGGTTGTTGAGGTTATTGTACCGTTGCAAAAGCTGGCCTCTACATCATCTGCTCGTCATCGCCAACACCGCCATGCTGCCGTTGCCGAAGCTACGAGAAACACTGATGTGACTATGCCTTAAAACTAGCATATTCTCCTGTCCCGTGCTCTTCCATCACTCGTCCTGACCCTAAACCCTAAACCCGAAACCCAGCGGACAGCATGTTTTGCCACCACTCGACTAGCCGAGGCAAGGCCATCACCTTGGAAGCCGCTCACGAACAGTTGGAGGGTAGAACTATTTGGAGCCCCTACTTAGTCTACATACTACAATGCTTATGAGTAGTATTATGAATGGGGTAGTACAGTTGGAGGGTAGAAGGCGCAAACAAATTCCAATAAGGCAGGCAACAGGGAAATCCTGGACATATATAGTCTCAAAACGAGAGATCCAAGACAAGTCTACATCATTCGAAAGATGAAAGATGTGGACTTGGATGGCGATGCAATGAGCAGGTGTTGCCAAACTCTCTGCCCGCAGCCGGCAACGAAACCGAGATTTTGGCTGCTTTTGGGACCACAGGCTCAGCTAAGGCTGCTGGTTCTCCCAATATTGAGAATTAGCGCCTTCGACCTCACATGTGTGTCTGTGTTTGCGAAGTCAGGCAAATGACGTCCCGATCCAAATGTGCACAGCCCGACCTCTTCTGACCAAGGCTTTTCGGCACAAGGGGGTAAACCCAAGCAGCCAAGGGCCGTGAGAGCTTGGAAGTTCCAACATCTGCTCAGGTGCTTCAGCCACTTGCAGACTTTCTCGGCCATGCGATCGAACGCCGCATGGTGAGATGCTTCCTGAAGCTGGTTACTGCGAGTTTGGAGCGACTAAATGAACTGTGGCCCTAAACATCCCGAACGGATCAACAGAGCAAAGCTTCAAGCTGGGTCTCAGTGAAGCCTGGTTCAGCACGAGAAGGCGCTCAGGCTTTGATATGCAAGCAACCCAGACAGCCGTCGAGACAAGAACAAGGCAGCTTTTGGCGCGAGCAAAGCGCTAACTTAGCCCTCTTGGACCTGCAGAAGAAGGGAGAAGTCCTGCTGCAAGCAGGGGCAAAGTGTAGGACCTCGTGCAAAAATCCCCTGGGCAAGTGCAAATGACAGGTTTTCCCGGCAGGTATTACTGCCGTCACTGCCAGCACGCAAAAGTGCGCTCACGATATGCTCTACATCTTCTAATCTGTATTCAAGAGCAATCCCGCCTTATGTGGGGTGCTCAAAACATGCAGATTGCAATCTGTCCAGAATTTGGAATTAAACTAATCGTCAAGCTAGTTCTAGTCTTTGGGGTATACGGTGTGGGTCAGCAGGAGTGTGCCATCGTAGTTGATAGACTCGACGACAATCTGCGTCTTGCTGATTGTCAGGTCATAGAACCCATATTGGGCCTCGCCGTACCAATCCACGGTGTTGTTCGGGTTCGGAGTGGCTTCTGACGTGATCCCTCCTCCTCCACCGGTGACAATGCAAGTCATGCCCATGTGGTTCTTCCAGTGCTGATCGGGTGTCCTGGACAAAGTGTTCCGAGTGCGATCCAAACCCATGATGCTGCTCAAAAGGCACAAAGTCTCATGTCGTTCAATACCGTCTGAAGCAAGACCGCGCGAGCAAACGTCTTGCATGATTCAACTGCTGCCAAGGGTCCACAACTCCTGATCGTGCCTGTGGCCTGTGATGAGGAGATCCAATCCCTTCGCACGCAGGCTGCGGTAGAACCCCTGTTCATGGCCACAGGGAAAGTGTGTGACGACGATTTGCCACGTCGCCGTCGACTGTCTCATCAAGTCGCGAACCCACACCTCAGCAGCATGTCCTCCCTTGTTGTCCGCATGCTGAAGCAGCTGTTGCCCTTGTTAAAGACAATAGTTAAAGTTAAAGATAGTGCATGCCTCATGCACCCCTCCGCTGGCATACAATACTGCTGGGAAAGTTGGAAGGACCCTGGAAGCTGCGAGCCCTTTTCCAGCGAATCTACCCCATGTTCGCTCAAGTCTAAAGAGCAGGAGGGAACTCTTGATGCACCCTCCCTGATTGCGGATTCGGTGCTTCAGGATACAAGGTTTGCTACATGCTATCGTGAGTTACCTTCGTTGCCAAAAACCCGATGGAAGCCGTGCACCGTGGCCAAACTCCCCCAAACCTGAAGCCCTGAAAACAATGCTCCGAGCTTAGCATTTAAGCCCTGAGCTTTAAATTCGAAGCAACTCCTTCCCACAAGCACATGCATAGAATGGCGTCCCTCAGAATGAATGGCTAGTTGCGCTACCTTCATGAGGGTCCTTTCTTGGATCCCTGAATGGTCGAGAAGAGTCTTATGCGTAACATGCAGAACCCTGGAGAACTCTGGCTCGTAGCAATATAGTCAGAACTGCTTCTAACTAGGCAGTACACCCCACAATATACTATTTTATATACTATACTATACTATATACTATATACTATACCCAAACCCTACACCCTAAACATAAGAATTGAACAAAGATTTTCACTGAGCAGCCTTCTGCTCGTCCCAGAGCTGCGCAAACCTAAACTTTCCAATCCAGGCTTCTGTCAGTATTCGTCTTTAAGTCAGTATCTAGTATCTAGTGTTAGTACTTGTATCCGTAATTGTGTTGGTATTCGTATTCGTGGTAGTATTCGGATGAGTGCTAGTAGTAGTACTCGTGATATAGCAATAATAATGGCAGTAGTAATAACAGCAGCGGTGGTCGCAGTCGTAGTAGCAGTCGTGGTGGTGGTGGTGGTGGTGGTGGTGATGGTGGTGGTGGTGGTCAGCAGTAGCAGTAGCAACAGCAGCAGCAGCAGCAGCAGCAGCCGCAGCCACCACGACCGCCGATCACGATGCCGACTACTACGTTGATCATTGCTCTATCTCTCCATCTCTCTCTCTCTGTCTCTCTTGAGCTCAGACACAACGGGCAATCCGTAGGGTTTGACACGGCTGCTACAGCTACTGCTGTTGCGACAGCTTCTGTTGCTGGAGCTGCGGCAAAGAGTTGACATTTTCAGCGCTCACACTCGGACAATCCAGGCGAGGCATATGGTTCGGAGTTGACATTTTGGGGTTTGCGGCGTGTGATGCTGAAGGGATCGGGATGACCTCTCAGTCCCTTGAAGCCCGAATCCTCAACCCTCTCTAAGCGTTCACAAGGAAGCTTCGGACGCGCCCTTCCCGGAAATTCTGGAATGCGGCAGCATAAGGCATAACTTGCGCCACAGATTGAAGATGTGGTGTTGCGGAAGGCTTGGATTAGCTGTGGGTGAGGCTCTGCATGGAATTATGTCCTTCGTCAGACCGGGGAATACAGAGTTCCCCTTCCAAAACACTATGCCACTATGCGATACAGCACCCCACAAAGCTGTTTCGAAATTGCAAGGCATCTCCATTATGCAGTGTGGGAAAAAGGACCGCCTTCGAGTTGTTGAGCTCAAGCAGTGGTCTGCATTCTACAGGCCCGGGCCCCGGCCATACACACAAAGTGTTCCTTCCTCTAGTGTGATAGGGAACTCCAGAAAGTTGGATATATGGTTTCATGGTAGGATACCCTATAATTTACCATAGAAGGGTTAGGATAATGATATTCCAACTTTCTGGCTCCTCTCGAGTCTACTGCCGCCGAAGAGCCAATGGGGACAGTTCTCGACCGACTCTGGGCCGCCCGTGGATGCGCAGGTGGCATCCGGGTTGTTGTTCTTGGAGCCTTTGTAGAGCTTAGAGGCTTCGGGGGCAGGCGAGGGTTCAGGGTTTATAGTGTGGGGCAGGCGTGGCTGTTTGTAGAAATGTGCAGCAACCTGCATGGCCTGGGGCGGGAATCCATGCGATAGATTGTGAGGACATGCAGGTTCTAAAGCTTTGCTTTGCTTCTGCCAGGTCCTGCTCGAATGAGAAAGGAATTGCAGTACCACCACACATGCCAATGCTTCTGAAGCCGGCAGGCTGATGTATGTTATAATCCAACGAGATCTGCCTTGCCGGCTAAAACTCCTCATACCGAGCCCGGGCGCTGCACATGTTGTGGCTCGGATCCTGAACACTGACACACAAACGCTGAAAACTGAACACGCACTGCAAGCTCGCAAACAAATGGTGGCAGGCCGGTTGACTTTGGAAGCTGCAGAAGCAATCAGACAGCCGACATAATCCCAGCAACCGTGTGCTTCACTGCAGGTCAGTTGTCGAGCTAAACTATGCACATGCATACAAGCTCAAGCAAGTCCTCCTCCGGTGGCATTGCATCCATAAAGTTCGTGTCAAGGAAGTAGTAGTCCACATCAAAGTCCAAGTCCTCTTCTACTCACACCTACTTACCTACTTCGAGCCGTGCAGCGCAGCCCCCACAGCTTGAAATTGTGTGAAGAATCATCCAACATGGATCCACCTTGTAGACGATGGTGGTCTTGTAGTAAGGCGCAGGGAGAACCCAGCGATCACTAAACCAGGTGTAGGACAACTGCTGGTCCCAACCTCCGCTCTGCGTTCATGACACGTCATGCCAACGACTCGCAGTCGGATCAATATGGGGGCCTTAATAATTAGAACAGGGTTTTGGGGCCCATCATACTATACTTATAATAAGGAACCACCAAAATAGTATTGATAATTGTTCCGG